AAGAGGATGTCTGTCTGTCTGTCTGTCTGTCCATCATCAAGCAAGCCTTGGTGCACAAGTGCATGTAGGTCCTTGCCTGTATCACTGTTGCTAACACCACATTGGCCAAAGCAAGCCTCGTGGCCACACCCTGACCTCAGGAGGCAGGGAAATTCTCTACCTCTTGATTGGAGGAGCGGCAAACTCCCCCTGCGGAGGGGCTTGTGCAGGAGAATGGGGAGAACTTCCGGTCAGTTCGCAACAGGCCACCGTGTTCTTCAGGCAGAAGGCGGATGAAGGCAGATGGAAGAACAGAAGGGCAAGAAAGCCAGAGGGCTAAGTGCGGGGGACGAGTGAGTAATTTGGGGGGCAGCCCCGAGACGGACAGAAGCCGAGTGTATGGCGTGTAAACGAGCAGCAGGAGAAATGAAACGATACGCTCAACCCACCCGAGAGCAGGCACGGAGGAGGCAGGACGGGCAGAGCGAGCAGCACGAAGGGCCGGCTGAGCGGCGCGGACCTCAGCGGCTGCGCGGAGAGCGGAGGGGGTCGCGGCGGCGGCGGCGGCGGCGGGAAGAGGCTGCCCTGGGGCGTGCATCGCGATCGATGAGGGATCTCTTCTCAGGCTCAAGTCAGAAGCGAGAGTTCAGGCACGTGAGGCCGCCACTGCTGCTTTGAATGCCTCAGAAGGGGCAATGGGTTTATCAGGAGCGACAGAGAAGAGCTTGCTAGGAGTCAAAGAAAATAATAAAAAGCGCAGCACTGGGGCTCCTGCTCCTGCCAGACGCAAAGACCGCTCTGATGAGAAGCCCAAGGATCGCACGGAAGATAAAGGGGTCACCGAGGAGTCGAGCGAGAAGGGTCTTGGCAGAGACAAAACTCGGGAGAGGCGCAGGGGGCGCAGCGCCTCCAGTGGCGGCAGCAGCACCAGGTCTCGGTCTAGCCCCACCCCCAGCTCCAGCTCCGGCTCCAGCTCCAGCTCAGGCTCCAGCACCCGCACCGGCACCAGCACGACACTGGCTCGAGCAGGGGCTCTAGCTCCTTGTCTGCATCGAGCCGTTTGGGAAGTTCAAGCACGTCCCGCAGGCCCACCAGCTCTCCAAGTCGTCCTGGCACAGCTGTGACCACAGGCGGGGTTCCCGCTGCAAATCCAAACCACCCAAAAGAGATGAAAAGGAAAGGAAAAGGCGGAGCCTTTCCCCGAAACCCCAAGCACACGCTGGGAGGCTCCCTGGGAAGGCGGCCGAGGCCCACGGCGTGGAGTTGTTCCCCACCTGTGGGAAGATTCAAGTGATTGGCATACCTGTGGGAAGGACGCACCCCACCCTTGCAGGGCCCTGCAGACGCGGAGTCTGAGGACCGGGTAAAGCCGAGAAGGCGCTGGAGCACATGGATGGGGGACAAACTGACGGCCAGGAAGTCAGGGCCACAGCTGTGCCGGCCCCCGGGCTCAGGCCACCGCCCAGGCCAGTCGGCCCTCCCAGGAGAATGCCGCCATCACCTCCCGTGTGCTGCCGGTCACCCCCACAGACGAGGAGAAGGCCACGCCCCCACGGCGCAGGCCCCCAGTGCGCCCGCGATGCCACTCCCCCCAGCGGCCACCACGGGAGCCGCTCCAGCTCCAATTCCTCCGCATGACCAGGCCGCCGAAGCTCTGCCCCGTGACTTAGCACCCATCCAGCTCAGTCCCGTTACTTTTCTAGCCTACGGCGTCGTTAGGAAACACATCCTCGCTCGGGGGCAGGCTTCGAAGGCAGCATTGAGGCGGTTCCTCTGAAGGCCGAGTGCAGCCGCAGAACGGATGTCCGCTTGGGGCTGTGCCCGTGAGGATGCCCTCCAGTTACCTGGCTGGAAAGTTCCCAGGTTTCCAGTCCCGGAGTTAGCACAGTGGCAAGGCCCGCGGGGACCAGCAGGGTTCCAGCTGGCAGTGTCACCCCACCCTGGGGGCACAGTTTTCTGTGTCGCCGACGACCCAGGGCCAGTCTAGCAGCCCGAGGATCCCTTGGGAAAGGGCGCGTTTTTGTGCGGCCGCCCGTCCTGTCCCGTCGGCCTGGCCCTGCGCCCCCTGCTGGAGGCCCCGCCCCTGGGGTGGAGCATCCCGTGAGGTGCTGTAAACGGTTCTGTGTTCTCATGGACTCGCGCACGTGCACCCACACCGCACACCTCCTCTCTCTGGCACTGGCGAGCAAGTGGAGAGCTAGCTCTGCAGGGCCGCCGGAGCCCGCCGCCCCCCTCTTCACGGTGGTCTCGGGGTTCCTGTGGGAACACGCACATTGCTTTGGGGCTTTTAGGACGCAGTCAGTACTACCAATGTTCTGTTTTGAGTTTTCCCGTACCTTTGCAGCATTTTGTTGCGCAGAGTAAAAGGATTGTGTTGAATAACCCTAGGAGCAGAATGCAGAGAGAGAGAGAGAGAGATTGAAGCGCAGACACATGTCAGCAGTTAAGCTAAATGGAGATAGACGACCCACACAAACACGCCCCACTGAGTTTTACAAGGACGCATGTTTCTGAATTTTATGCAAACCGGGTGAGGCGGGCGCTACGGGCGCTACGGACTCTTCAGTGCGGCTCCCTCCACTCACACAACGGCCCTGGGGCTGGCCCTTGTCTGCGCAGCGCTGCGCTGTAGGTCACAGCATGACGGACGTTTCCACCCTCCTGTTGGTCGGCATTTGGGTTGCTACCCGTGTGTGGCGGTTGTGAATGAAGAACTGGCCCGCGTGCTTGCGGAGGCCTGGGGAGTCTGAAATCTGCCTGGCAGGCTGGAGGGCCGGGGAAGAGTTGGTGCAGCAGCCCGAGTCTAAAGGCAGTTTGCTGGCAGAGTTCCCTCTTTCTTGGGAGAGGTCACTCTTGTTTTTTTGTAAACCCTTCTACTGATTAGACGAGGCCCACCTATACTGCATTCATGCACACCAATGGCAGGGTAGCAATAATAATGCGCTAGGAGCACGTGCATGCATGTGCATGTGGGCACACACACACACACACACACACCACGCTCCTGTGGTCCGGCACGCAGGGAGAGCTGAGGACCACTCTGCAAGCCCGCTGTGGGAGGAGAGAGAAACCGGACGAGTTCAAACAAACTCCGAGGGCAAGCAGGGAGGTTGAGTTAGGCTCAGAGAGGGGCAGAGGATGGAGACCTGGGGCTGAGGGCAGTAGTGGGGGTGTGTGGGAGGGAGAAGCATCAGCCTCGGCCACCTCCCACCCAACCCCAACCCCCACTTTAACAGCCCAGACCGAGGCCCCCACCCACACGGGTCCCTGCAACACAGGCGGACCCTGACGTCTGGCGGTCCCTGTCAGGCCCTGGAGAGCCCAGAGCAGCCGCCTCTGTGTGGCCGGAGAGAGTCCAGTCCCTACGTGCACGCTTGCTCTCCAGAGAGGATGTAGCAGAAACGGACATACGCATTGTTTCAGATATAAAATTGCAACTGTTTCTTTGTTTTTGTTGTTTTGTTTTTTGTAGCCCATTGAATTACCCCCTATGCCTAAAGGGGATTAGGGAAGGCCAGTTTCAGGTTGCTTTTAGCATAAATAAAATGATCAAATTAGGCTCTTCTAGGAGAAAGGTAAGGGAAGAGTTTTGCTTTGTTCAGGGATAAAGCAGGCGTTGGCAGGAGCTGAGGGAAGGTCACCAGGGAGGAGCAGAGCCCCTGAGCCCAGGCCCTGGGGCCGGAACCTGGAGCTTGTTGTAGGGCACAGGGGACACCATCTGATGGTGACTGGCACAGCCCTGGGCAGCCGGAACTCTGCCCGAGAACAGCGCCTGTCCTTGCCTGCACGGCTTCCGGCCGGGCCAGTCCCAGAGGGCGCCACCCTGCCTTCTACCTGAGCAAGCACTTCGAGGAAAGGATCGTTTTATTATGCGTGTATAAAGTTTCCTTCTACATTGACGGTGTTTTCGAGCTCTCCGCTCCTGAAGAATTACCGCTCTGGGCAGGAGGGGGCCTCAAGGACCGAGAGGGGGCAGCAGCCCCTGGGCGGGCACCCCGTTTTCCTGCCTCACCCCAACCTCTCTAATGAGCTCCCGCCTCGGTTTTCTTTCTGCCTCCTGGGGACGCCCTGTCCCCCCAATCCCACATGGTCCAGGGAGCGCAAGGGGCCCCCTGTGGCTGCCTCTCCTGGGGTCTCCAACTCAGGGCAGGAAGGGTCTCCCTGGAAGGCTGCCTCCCCAACACAATCGCGGAGTCTGGAAGCTTCCACCTCGATGCCCTGGGCAGCGCCCGCCCCCCGCCCCCCCGGGGCCTCGGCTGCAGCCTCAGCGCCCCTGCTTGGCAGCCTCGCCGCTCGTCCTGGAATCCCGATGACCACGGGGCGGGGGGGCAGCCCGGTTTGGGGCTAGAAACACCTAAACTCGCTAATGGTAGGTCCTCTGAAAAGGGAGAGTTCTGTGTCCCATTGTCCAGGCAGATTTTAAAAACCCTGTTTATTGTTCTTGTATTTTCACGGTGACCTCTAGTTTTAGTCAGTAGCGCGCATTTCCACTGAGGAGTGAAACCGGCTCCACGTTACGCAGGCGTATTTCAGCCAGGTGGCTTAGAGAAAAGCGATAAGCAGACAGCATCCGTCGCTAACATGACATGACGGGAGCCGTGAAGGTGGCATCTGAATGGCTGATAGGAATGGAAGCCCAGCTTGCAGGGCGGTTTGCGCCAGCGCTCGAGAGCCGTGCGCACAGGTAACCCGGGCCTTCCCCGTCTCTGTGCAGCGTCTACCAGTCCTTTGTCGGTGGGCACTAATGCAAAGCTCCGTGTCTCTGGCACCTGCGACCCAAGCAGAGGAAGGGGCCAGACCCCGCGAAGCCCAAAGCTTCTAGAAGATTCTGCAACCCGTACCCAGCCGTCAACATGCGTCCGCCAGCTCCAGGCAGATGTTGGGCAAAACCTCTGCCAGCGCAGCGAGCCGGGCGGAGTTCAGCCGCTGCACGGAGAGGTGTTGGGTAGGGGCGTGCTGGGGTGGGGGGCGGGCCAGGGTCCAAGCCCGGCAGCAGGGGGCGGGGCCAGCGCGTGACTAAGCACTGGGGGCGGAGCCGGGCAGAACGGGGCGGGACCACCCTCGTGAGGCCCAGGCCGCTGGGCCAGAGTGAGCTTTCCCTCTGCCGCTGCTGGAGTCGCCGCTTTAGTCTGCGCCGCCGCCAGTGAGTCTTTGTTGTGGCTTCGGGCGGGGTGGGGGGGGCGGGCGGGGGGAGGGCTTGGAATGCACCAGACTCCTAGGGGCTCAGAGAGTGCCCCGCACGCAGCTGGGACCCCGGCTTCAAGCCTTGGCTCCTACTAGGCCCTGCCCCCTTAAGGCCGCGATGGAGATCCAGGGCACCAGCGTGGGTTTGGGGCTCAGGGGCCCATCCCCCACCCCCGTCCCCCTGCCCCCTGCACAGAGACAAGCCCCTAGGGGCCCGGAACGAGGGACGGGACTGCAGGGAGGACGGGTGGGGGCACTGTCCCTCATAGGGCCCTTCTAGAGGACTCTGAGGAACTCTTTTGTCTCCTCTAGTGCCGCCGTACACCATCGTCTACTTTCCTGTTCGAGGTAGGGCCCGCGATACCTACCTGAGGGAGGGGCGGGGCGGCGAGGCAGAGGTTGGAGGCTGCAGCCCGTGGCCTCTCACCCACCTGGGGCAGACCCCAAACCCCCCTTGTCCTTCCTCACCTGGCTGCTAGCCTGGGCCTACTTTTCCGTGTCCCTGAGCTCCCTGGGTTGGAGGGTCCCGCCTCCTGCGGTCTGTCCCCTCCACAGAGTGCTCTGAGGTCACTGGAGGGGGCCCCTCCCCAGGGCACAGTGGGGGGGGTCTCTGCACCCCTTACCCTGTCCCCCTCCCTCCACCCCCGCCCCAGGGCGCTGCGAGGCCATGCGCATGCTGCTGGCCGACCAGGGCCAGAGCTGGAAGGAGGAGGTGGTCACCAAGGACTCCTGGCTGCAGGGCTCCCTCAAGGCCTCCTGTGTGAGTGCCCATGCCCGTCGGGGGCCGGGGCTGGGCCCTGGGGGGACAAACTAAGGAGGGGGACAGCTGAGCTCAGAGTCCCTCACAGAGCCATGCCCTCCCCCCTCCCCCCAGCTGTACGGGCAGCTCCCCAAGTTCCAGGACGGAGACCTGACCCTGTACCAGTCCAACGCCATCCTGCGCCACCTGGGCCGCTCCCTCGGTGAGTCCAGAGGGTGCGGGCGACCCGGGGCAGGGGTGGGCAGGGGTGGGTCCGCTATCGCTCCTGCGCGGGGCCAGCCTCTTCCGGTTACATCGAGCTGCCCAGCACCCTCGTGGAGCAAATTGGGGTCCGTGGAAGTGATACGGGCTTGCCCAAGGTCAAGCCCAGGTGCGCCGGCAGCCCTTGCCCTATGCCAGGCTGCCTCACCCACGGGGCTCTGAGCTCGGGACTAGCCCTTCCTTGGGTCCACAGCCTCCTCCCTCCTCCCCGGCCGTGGCCCGCAGGCAGCCGCGTGGCCGATCAGCCGGCAGTTGTGTGTCAGGCGACCAGTCACGCTGCCCGCTCTCCCGACCTCCCCCCTTGACCCCCCCCCCGCAGGACTGTACGGGAAGGACCAGCGGGAGGCGGCCCTGGCGGACGTGGTGAATGACGGCGTGGAGGAACTCCGCTGCAAATACGTCACCCTCATCTACACCAACTACGTGAGCGCGGGCACCGGGGTGGGCACGGGGACCGGCGGGGGGGGGGCCGTCCTGAGCTCTCCCCCAGCACCGCACCCCTTCCCGTGGCTCCAGCCGAGCCCACCCTCGGTCGGGGGCCTGTGCTGGGTCAGGCTCTGTGCGGGGGCCGGTCACCAGCAAGAGCAGAACAGTGCCAGGACGGCAGACAGCGAGCCGGGGGTGGCTCCTGATTGCTGGGCTGGGCTGGCCAGGAGGCTCCCTGCAGCAGGTGGAGGAGGCAGAGGAGGGTCTATAGCCAACTTCTAGGGGGTGGGGTGGGGGGCGCCGGGGGGGGGGTGCTGCCCTGCCAGGTGCACGGAGTATGCAGATGTGAAGTGCTTCTGGGGACCTGACACCAGTGTAGCGGCGGGAGGACACCTGTGTGGCTGCGTGAGAACGAGAGGGAGAGTGGGGTGGGGGGGCAGGGGGAGGGGCAGCAGGCCCAGGGCCCGGAGGCCTGAACCCCTGACTCAGACTCCTCCCTGCGGGCAGCGGGCAGCCATTGAGGAGCCTGGGCAGGGCGGCATCCAAACGGGAGGCCTAGAAGGGCCCTCCGAGGCCCTTGCACCAGTTCACCACGAGGCCGCTGAGCAGAGGAGAACCGGCTGCTCCAGCGGACCGCAAGTGGCCGCAGCCTGGGGGTGGGGAGTGGCTCTCGGAGATTGGCGGGAAAGGAGGGGGCGTGTCTGGGCCGGACGTGGGTCGGGGAGCATGATGCCTGGGGGTGTCTTTCCGGCAGGAGGCGGGCAAGGACGACTACGTGAAGGAGCTGCCGGGGCGCCTGAAGCCTTTCGAGACCCTGCTCTCCCAGAACCGGGGCGGCCAGGCCTTCATCGTGGGTGACCAGGTGAGCGGCTGTCCGCGTCCTGCCCCCACCACGCCCCCTGCTCTCACGGCTGGGACGCAGGCGGGCAGACCTCGGGGTTGAGCGCTCACGCTCTTGGTCTCCCTCCCCGCCCCCCGCCCCCACCTGCTGAGCTCTCCACGCCGCCCCCCACAGATCTCCTTCGCGGACTACAACCTGCTGGACTTACTGCTGAACCACCAGGTCCTGGCCCCCGGCTGCCTGGACTCCCTGCCCCTGCTCTCGGCCTACGTGGCTCGCCTCAGCGCCCGGCCCAAGCTCAAGGCCTTCCTGGACTCCCCCGAGCACGTGAACCGCCCCATCAACGGCAACGGGAAGCAGTGAGGGCCTTGGGCCGCGCTGAGCAGGAGGCGTGGGCTGCCCGCCTCCCCCCTGCCCCAGAACCAATAAAATTTCCCAGAGGAAAGTGGTGCTGTGGGCATTGAGTCTCCTGGGGAGGGGGCCGTGGGACCCTCACTTGTCAGACTCGGGGGAGGTGGCAGCTCACTGGGCTACTTGAAATCCTGAAACCCAATCTGAGTGTCTTCTGGGTGGTGTACTCAAGCCAGTCTGTGCTTGTCGGACCCCGGGGAAGAGAAGGAAAAAAAAGGAACAGGAAGAGAAATAACTGGTCCCCACCCCGGAGGCTCTCACGGTCTCCAAAGAAAAGGAAGCCTGTGTTCTCATCCCCGCGGGCCGCCTGCCAGAGGGCCGGCCCTGGGGAGCCGGGGCTGAGGGCCCCTGCCTGTCGGGAGTAGGCGGAGCGGCCCAGGCTGGTGGCTGGGAGGGTCAGTCACTCTTCTCTTCAGAAGGGGGGCTCTCATGGCTTCCCTGGGCATCGGGACACGAGGGCCACACTGGACAATCCAGGTGGCCCTCCCAGAGCCACCTCTCACCACCCGGGTTGCTAAAGCACGGAGCCTGGGTGAGCTGCTGGGGCCGCATCTGCACTGGGGAGAGCCCCAGGCAAGTGGAGGCACTGGGGTGTGAGCAGGTCAGGGGCCTCGGGGCTTCTGGGGATGTCCGGAGCCGAGAGACCATGGGCGCCCCCTCTTCCTCCGCATTCCGCCATCGCCGCACCCCATCATGCAGTCTAGAGGAGCAGGTGCTTCTCTGGGGGAGCGTTGGCCAAACTTTGAGTCACCCGCCACCAGCCCAAAAGGGGCACCCTCTGTCACGTAGGGGAGCCCCTCAGGCAGTCAGCCTCTGAATCCTGAGAGACCTCAGTAGGTTTGAGACCTCCTAGGAAATGTCACTCAAGGGCCGGGAGGGCCATCTGCCCGAATGCTGCAGAGGTGGGTCAGCAAAGGGGCGCCCGCACGGCCCCCACTCGGAGGCCCCACGTGTCTCTGCCGGTTGTGGCATCGGAGCGGCCATGGCTGGAGCACCGCCAGAATGCTTCACCCCGCCCCCTGCCCCCGCTGCCCCTGGAGGCCTGGGTGTGCCAGAGTCAAGGGACCGGGTTAGAGGCCGGACAGACACTGCCAGTGGGGGGACTTTGGATTCAGGAAGTGTGAGTGCAAACGGCAAAGGCCCGTGCCCCGCAGCCGCCCGCAGCCGTGCTGGCAACCAGTGACAGCCGCCGTGCTGGCAACCAGTGACAGCCGCTGACACCGCGCGCCCAGCCCGCAGCAGGCGGTGGTATGCTGCCCTCCCGAATCCTCACCACCCAGACACTCTCATCCCCACTTATGGATGAGGAAACTGAGTCACAGCAAGTCTGAGTAACTTGCCGATGTGTGGACTGAGGCACAAACACGGCTGGTTGTCACGCCCCGGCGATCACACGGGCTGAAACGGCGGAGGAGCCCGGCCACAGACCGGCCGGGTACCTGTGGGTTTGCTGCCCTGCAGGGCGAGGGGCCGGGACCGGGCTCTTCGGAGCAGGGGGCGCTGGGGCGCCTGAGTGCACCCTCTCTGCAAGAGAAGTTTTCCTACCCTCCACCCGTGACACGGGAAAAGGAGACTCCCCTGTTCCCCTAGCCGCCGTGGACGGAGAGGGCGAATGACTTCCAGGACGCAGCACGGAACTGCCTGTGCGAGAAACCCCGGCACTGTCCTCCCCGGCCGCCAGGACCCGGGGTGGATGGTGGGGGTTCCGGTGGCCCGGTCCACGAGTGAGGACCACGTGGAGCAGAGCCCTGCTACCGTGTGACGGACACGCGGGTGCCTGAGCAGCGTCTTCGTGGTTGGTTTTGCACTCGTGGGAATCCAAGTGGTGTGTTACTGCAGCACAACCTGACCCATCCTGTCTGACGCTCCGATGTGCTCCGCTCGGGCCCAGGGAGTCCGGTCACTCCCCACAGGTGCCCCGCCTCCACAGGTGGTCAGGGAAGGCAAGAGGGCGAGAGAGGGCTGTGACTTTGGGGTATTCTCCCCACTCCCAAACTGGGACCCTCTGCCTCCCCTAGAGCCTGATTGCTGACTGTGAGGGGGAGCTGAGAAGGAGTCCTCCTTCGGGCTGGAGGAAGACACCAAGCTGAAGGCAGGGAGCAGAGAGAGATGGGAGGCCCGGCCCTCCCGGTGGCTGCAGGGACATTCGGCTGCAGGGCTGGGGAAAGCGGGACAGGCCCATGGGGTCCTGGCCAGGTGCTGGGGTGCCCTGTGGAAGGACGGCGGGCACACCTGGTGTCGTCGTGAAGACCCTGGCCGAGCAGCCGGCCACTGGGGGGAGCACGGGGTATGCAGGAACTTGGGGAGTAACAGCCGTGGTGTCCTGAGTTTGCAAGGACAGTTCTTTAGCATTAGCAGAACTGACTCACCACATTGGGGAAATCACTGGATCCGCACCTCATGCCTTACACGACAATAAACTCCAGATACATCAGTAGTTCTCAGCTGGGGGTGATTTTGCCCCCCCAGATCATGCTTGGCAAAGTCTGGAGACATTTTTGCTGTCACAGCTTGTGGGGTGCTACTGGCACTTCAGGGTCACGCCTAATGTCCTACGAGGCACATGACAGCTGCCCGCCGCAGAGAATGACACAGCCCCACATGCCCACAGTGGGAGACTGAGGACACCTGCGTGCGACAGGGGTCCCTGACGTGTGAAAGAGAAAAATAAAATACTATCGGAAAAAAATGTCAGAGGTTTGTTTATGACCTTGGTCTGCTGCGGACTCCGGCCCGCAGGGTCCGAGTGTTGTGGCTGCGACGAACAAATTCACCCGGACTGCAGGAGTCCTGGGGAGAAAATGCTCTCTGAGTGAGAGAGGGCCTGACCCCCCACCCCCCACGGGCTTTTGTTGCTCTTCTGGGCACATGTCGAGGCTGGTCCTCATTTACTATGCACGGGTTCGCTTTAGGTCGTTACCTTTTACAGATAACAAAGAAAAGAATGTCGGTAATTACTTCAAAAGAGAAGGATGTTGCAGATCAAGGGGAAAGGTGGTTGAACCGGTTACACTTCATACTTGAGAGGTTTGGCACAGACTTTAAGAAGTGACTTTAAAGATACGCAGTAGACCTTTGCTGCCTCCATCCAGGGTGAGGGAGCTTTAGCCAAAGCAAGCCTCATAGCAGCCCAGGCCCAATGCAGGCCTGGCTCCCCACGGGAGAACCGATCCTCCGTGGGTTCGGTTCCCGTGTGCCACTCTCGCCTGCCGGTTTTCCGATAGGGCTGGGCTACCTTCGCCATGCCACCCAGACAGGTTCCCTACATGGGTCTGGGGATACATTTCTTCAGCAAGGTCCCCAAATGAATAAATGTGACTGCACACCCAAACTACGGATCTCTCTCGTACAGCGGTGGTTGTTGCTTTGCGGACGATCAGACAGATGGTCAATGCAAAGGAAATCTTTGCAGCCGCCTGCGGTTTATGACGTCGGAGCCGGCATGCCCACTGATCCTTCAGAACCCTCCCGAAGCCACAGACACCGCAGGACCCGAGACACACACCCCACATCTCGAGATTGTAGGAGACACCTGCAGCGGCTGCGGTCACGGGCTTCCGTGCACCAGACAGCCCCACGTTTGTAAAGCCAGAGCTAATGGGCAGACAAGGGTTTGGGCAGCTGGAGATGAAACAAGAGAAGGCGCCGTCCTTTTGATTGCTCTTGGGACATTTCCTATAATAACCATCTATTGTTTCAGAGAAAGTCTTAGCACATTCCAGAGAAAGGGTGAAATAGTTCAGAAAACAACCTCTCATTATAAGAATCTAACAGCCCTGGCTGGTGTAGCTCAGTGGATTGAGTGCCGGCCTGTGAACCAAAGAGCCACTGGTTCGATTCCCAGTCAGGGCACAGGCCTGGGCTGTGGGTTTGGTCCCTGGTTGGGGCACGTACAAGAGACAGGCGTTTGATGTTTCTCTCTCACATCGGTGTTCTGTGCTCTCTCCCTCCCTTCCCCTCTCTCTAAAAATAAATTACAAAATAAATAAAAATAGTAAAGAAGCCCCACGCATCAGAAGCAATGGTCTGCCGGCCTTGAGTACTCCAGCATGATGACAGCTCTTGTCATCCGACAGGACAGACTCCCTCCCCTCCTTGTTCTCCGAAACCGTCTTGGCCGTTCTTGGCCCTTTGTTTTTCTAGCTGTATTTCCGTGTTCGTTTTCCCAGTTTCATGAAAAGCCTTGATGGGGTTTGGATCGGAATTTGTAGTGAATTGACAGATTATCCTGGAGAGATTCGACCCCGTCGTGATATGAAGTAGCCCCACCTGGTGAAGCCCGCTGGGCAGCTGCGCCGCCGGCCGGCCGGAGGTGGGGTGGCGGCTCGTGGAAGAGGGAGGAAACCACAGACACCGGCTGCGACTCGCGCCCCCTCCGCGGGTGCTGGCGGCTCTGAGTCTCGTACATGGGGAGGAAACTGTCTCTCTTTGGTTCGAAGTGGTCACGGGAGGAGGGGCCTGTGACCGGTGACAAGCAGCTCCACCTGTGTCTAATAATAACGCTCAACCGGTTCCTCTCTTTCCTTTTTGCTGATTTTCTTTGTGCAGAAACGCCAAGCCAGGGCCTGGCATTCCTAAAGGCCGACCTCTGGGGGAATGGGGAAGGTGGGTCTCACGTGTCCAGTCCGGGGGGTGTGAGCCCGTGCTGGGTCTGCTGCCCCACATAGCCATCGAGAGCTGCACTGAAGGACGGGCTGAAGTGTGGGTGGAGGTGGGAGAGGGTGTAAGGGGGACAAGTGGTAATGGGAAAAAAATACAGTGAAACAAACTATTAAAAAAGAAAAAGAACAGACTGAAGTTTGTGTTTAAGCTTTTGTGGCAAAAAAAAAGCCCCTTGGGGGGCGCTCCAGACACCAGACCTGACCTACGTGTGGGGTGTCTGACCGGGGCTTTGCTGCCAGGGAGGTGCCGGGACGGGTGGATGGAGGGGACCTGTGCCCAGCGGAGGCCTCACAGGTCCTTGCTGACAGACACTGCAGACAGTGCCCAGTGGGCCGGGACAGTGTGGGAAATGACCGTTTCTACCTACAGCAG